AAGTCAAATTTATATTCTGCAGAGGGTGCAGAGGTTGTGGAAAGTGAGGTTAAAATGTGAATGCACAGGGCAGGCTGAGGCTGAAGTATAAAGTTACAGGGGTTACATTTAAATTGTAATTTGCGTATCGGCCCTTGGCTTTTTGTAAAGGAGGGCTAAAATGTGAGTTTGCAGTGAGTGGAATTAAGATGTGGTTTTGTTTGCACGTAGAAAGATTGAAATGTGGGTGTACCGAGAGGAAGTGAGCTTGTAATCTGTATTTCGCAAACGCTGAAATTGAAAATGTTAATTCGCCTGGTAACATTAAACGTCAATTTACAAGGAGTAAACTGAAATTTGACTGTGATGTTGAGGCACAGAGAGGGGCTGAAGCTGAAACTGAGTTTTGTAGGAAGAGGTTCGGCGTGATGAGCCGGCATTTAGCGAAGTTAAAACGTGAATTTGCAGATGGTATCGGCCCGTACGATGTTTTCTCGGAAATTATTGCTAACTCGCAGCACGGTCGCAGTAATTCAGGCCTATTCGGCATTAGGCATTCGCCGACCCGACAACTACATCGTTTCGGTGAACCGTCCTCCTCACGTCCACTCGATCTAGCCGAACATCTTTCACAGGTTAGCGCTTTCCTCGCTGCTCTTGTCCCAGAATTCTTGCTAAATTGTTACTGTAGTTGAATTCGGTAGGGATATGGTAGTAGATTATCATTTTGCCTAAAAAAAACAATTAGTGTGCAGTTGAGGCAAAAGAAATCTTTCCGGCGAAAAATGTTTAAAAAACGCTTTGCGGGGAATGGTTGCGCTAAATTAGCTGTGCAGTTGGTATTCCTCGAGTTTTACCACCACTGATTGCTCTTAATGAATGCCGCTTTCGCTTTTTTTTTATATTTTAGAACAATTTACTTGGAGAGGGAAGGTATTCGAGATTACTGTCGGAGGAAGTGTTTGTGCTGTGACTCCTTTCTTTTGGAGGAATTATTGTTAAGGATTGTCGTTCCCCTCAGATGGGACCATAATTTTCAGTAATTAGACAGGTCAAGCTGAGTATGAGTAGTCTTCTGTATCCATCTAAGTGACTTAAGTTGGTACTCACAGATTTAGAAAAGGGTACTAAATCAGTGTAGATGCTTACGAAAAAGAAAACCGAGGGCAGTCTATAAAAAGTGTTGCTGAGAGGACTATGTCGCTACAGCAACTGACAGATTGGCTGGAAGGAGGGCTGGCACAAGTGATGTGCAGTGAATATGTTTTCTGGAGAAAGCTGTTGATTCGCTGTCAGAATTTCCAGCACTACAATTGGGGCAGCTTTTCCATTTCTGCCGCAATATTGTGATGCTGCAGTCAGATCACTCCGTGCGTTTGAGCGACCGGGTGTTGGCCTCCCTGCTATTCTTTTAAAACATGCCGAGTGTCTGCATTCAGCTTTTGTCTTCGTCCATCTGTTGTCTTTCATTCTTGCCGAATTTTCAGCCTAACTTCTCTTCCCCGACGTGTATTTGCGGTGCATTGTGATTTTTTTTTTCCAAAACGTGACGCAGCTCAGTTCGTTGTTAGTTACATGTTGCGGCCAGCTAACAGCTGATTTTCGTCGTTCCACTGATCTTTGTGTCGCTGCTGACCTGTTCTGTGAGGTAAACTTGCTCCCGGGGGATGATGGTGTTGAGAAATTATGCCGGCGATGTGTTTAATACAAACTCTGATGAATGCAGTCCACGCTGCTGTTCGTCTGCAGCTCAGCGGCACACAAATACAATACATTTAAAAGTAATTAACTAAAAACGATTCGTATAAACTATGAATAGCATTACCGTTGCAGGACATGCAGAACATTGGTGATGGACCTCTGCCCACTATTCAGAATGATGTGCATTTTCACAGGGTCAGTTTCAGTTTTTGTGATGCAAAATTCCAGAACAGCCTGTTTCCGAACTAAGAAATCTTTCGCGAATCTGTCCTCGTCCTCCCCCTCCTTCCTTGTCTCTCTCTCTCTGGTTTTTTTTTTTTTGCGTCGTGTACATGTATGTGTGTTTGCATGCGTATAAATTATTCACTGTAGTTTCGCGTTATGTTTCAGAATTCGGAACGGAGAAATAGCATGGCAAGAAATGCGGATGCAAGCATTCCATCGATAAGTACGGCTAATACGCCATCGACGAACATTCCACCGACAATTTTGACGAACATTCCATCGTTAAATGTAACGGATATGCCATCCACAAGTACGATGAATACGATGCACAGGAATTCCTCCGCTCATGCAGATAAAAACAGAAGAGGCCGGAAGAGAAAACAGTATGATTGCTTCTTTTGCAAGTTTTTTGGATTCGGAAAACAGCGAAATAGTTGATTCTGATAAGATTTTGGATTTTGTGCGACCACAGTTTGGTTTGCGCGAAGACACACTCTTACATGCATCTGCGTGATAGTTTGCAACTTTCGTAGATTTTACTGCGACTACAGTCGAGCATCCTTGGGAAGTGTCCTGTTGCTGATGACGATTTGCTTCCATATTACTTCTGCCAAGTTGTTTTTTTGCGAGAAACGGGGCTTCCACGATTGGCGTAAGAAGGAGGCGGGTGAAAATGCTCCTGAGGCGTACTTACATAAAAATGATTATTTCTGTCCTAAGCTTGTTCTCTTATTTTTCAGAAGTGAACGC